ACAAGTCCAGTGAGGCTGGGCTCAGTGAGGTGGAGGTGGGGTTGAGAGCCGGGGCAACGGTGGGACCTGCGGCTCACATGAGGGGTTTATCCCAAGAGCCACAAGGAATCAGGAGTTTTCAGCAAAGCAATGCCGTGGTCAATGTGGGCCACTGCTGGTTTCCCCAGGGCCAGGCCCGGGTCAGGGATTCCAGGGCAAGTAGTTTCTGCAGGAGGCTATTCCAGAAAATGCCAGTAGAGGAGTGCGGAAGCTGGACAGGGATGGGCAGGTGCCAGCAACGTACCTGTGGTCCAGCAGATCACCGCTGGGGCAACTGGAGTGGAGGGCTCTGGGAGCCAGGGTGGGATCTGCCCTGGAGTTAGCTCCTGGACGGGGTGGGAGCTGCATGATGCTATGCCAACTCTCATCAGTGGTCAGTTGGAGGTTTGGGGGGCCTAATGGGGCAAGCAGGCTATCCCAGCACATCCAGCCGGGGGCAGGCAGACCAAGCCCCAGGGGGCAGTCTCCAGGCAGCAATGGAGTTGGATGGGCCCCGAGGGGAGATGAGCAAGTGCAGGCATCCCTGGGTGGGGTGGAGGGGGGGGGCAGACAGGAGCCTGGAGATCAGGGAGCAGGCCCCAGGCAGATGAGTCCAAGCAAGAGATGTTAGTGACGTGGGCTGGAAAAGCCATGGTTATGAGGACAAGGGGACAAACTAGAATATAGAAGTGACAGATGTGGGGGAATGAAGAACACTACAGACAGAGTAATAGGAAGGCAAGAGAAGCCCCTGCCTCTCAGAGCTGCAGGAGCCCCTCCATCCCCAGGTTCCCCCAACCTAGACTGGCTCTGTCCACCTGTCAGGGGCTCACTGTCCCAGCTTGTCAACTGCTCGTCAGACACTGACACAGCCCCCAGAGACCATGAAGGTGTGTGAGGGAGAAAAAAGTACCCTGCAACCATTTAAAAAGCAAATGCTGAACCACAATTATCTTATATTAGACAAAGGTGCCGAGAACATGCACTGGAGAAGATAGCCTCTTCAACAAATGGTGCTGGAAAAACTGGAAATTCATATGCAACAAAATGAAATTAAACCCCTATCTCTCACCATGCACAAAACTCAACTCAAAGTGCATGAAGGACCTAGGAATTAAACCAGAGACACTGTGCCTAATAGAAGAAAAAGTAGGCCGTAATCCCCATCATGTGGGATTAGGCCTCAATTTCCTTAATAATACTCCTGTGGCACAAGAATTAAAATCAAGAATCAATAAATGGGATGGATTCAAATTAAAAAGAATTTTTTTTAATTCAAATTAAAAAGAAAAAAATTTTTCTTCTCAGCAAAAGAAATAATCTGTGAGGCAAATAGAGAGCCTACATCTTGGGAGCAAATCTTTACCCCTCACACATCAGATAGAGCACTAATCTCTAGGATATATAAAGAACTCAAAAAACAAACCCAAATAACCAATCAATAAATGGTCAAGGACCTGAACAGACACTTCTCAGATGAGGACATACAATCAATCAACAAATATATGAAAAAATGCTCATCATCTCTAGCAATTAGAGAAATGCAAATCAAAACTACTCTAAGATTTCATCTCACTCCAGTCAGAATAGCAGCTATTATGAAGACAAACAACAATAAGTGTTGGCGAGGATGTGGGGAAAAGGCACACTCATACATTACTGGTGGGACTGCAAATTGGTGCAGCCAATACAGAAAGCAGTATGGAGATTTCTTGGAAAATTGGGAATGGAACCACCATTTGACTCAGCTATCCCTCTCCTAGGTCTATACCCAAAAGACTTAAAAACAGCATACTACAGGGACACAGCCACATCAATGTTTATAGCAGCACAATTCACAATAGCTAAACTGTGGAGCCAACCTAGATGCCCTTCAAAAGATGAATGGATAAAAAAAGTGTGGCATAGATGGAGTTGGAGAAGATAATGCTAAGTGAAGTTAACCAATCCCAAACAACCAAATGCCGAATGTTTTCTCTGATATGAGAAGGCTGATTCATACTAGAGTAGGGAGAGGGAGCATGGGAGGAATAGATGAACTCTAGATAGGGCAGAGGGTTTGGAGGGGAAGGGAGGGGGCATGGGATTAGAAATGATGGTGGAATGTGATGATTATTATTATTCAAAGTACATCTATGAAGACACTAATTGGTGAGAATATACTTTGTACACAACCAGAGATATGAAAAATCGTGCTCTATATGTGTAAAAACATAAAAAACAAGCACTGAGCGGTCATCAATGCCAGCCCCAAGTCTAGGAGACGTCGCTGACCTGTGTGCGAGTGCGTGTGTGAGATTGAAAAGAGGAAATGGACTCAGCCCGAGCTCCCTCCCAGGATGTCACCTTGACTCTAGTATCTTCCTGCATGTCCTCATCCATTCCCCCATCAGACGTGGGGCTCTGCATGGTGTGCTGGTCACTGGGGACCTAGGAACTGGCTCATCGGAGGGTCTCGGTGGCCATCTGTTGAATGATGGGACCTGGCAATGGTTCCCTCCCTTCTGTGCTCATGCCCTGGGGAGGAAGGTGCTTGGGGACAGGTAAGTGCTAGTTCTAAGGACATGGGCCCACCATGGTGGCAGGAGGACCAGTGTAAAGGGATGGGGTTGTTGAAGCAGCAAGGAATTTAGTTGCTGGCAATAGAAGTCAAGTTTAAATGAAATAAGTCAATAAATAATAGAAAAGTCAAGTTTAAATGATAAATAGTCAGTCACCAAGAATACGGACTGAGCACTCCGTCACCAGGGTGCCTGCACAGCCCGAGCCTCCAGGAACAGTGTCACCAAATCCTGCCTCAGGGCTGCTCTGGTGGGGACACTGCTGAGGAGCTCTGAGCGTTGTCACCAGCAGCCCCGAAGCCCCTGGCCCAGGAACTCCTGCCACGCTCCAGCTCTGGCTTCCAGGGGCTCCGCGTCAGCCTGCCTTCATGGCCGTTAGCAAGACCAGCACATCTCCCTGACTCACACCCTCAGCGGGGCTGAGGGCTTTCTCTGGCTGCTGGACCCTGCTCTACTGCTCCTTTGGTGGACTGGGAGTCTGTGGGAATGAATGCCTCCCCCAGAACCCCCTCACCAAGGACTGAGGGCAAGGGGTGTGTCAGTACCCCAGCTCCCCGCCCTCGTGGGGCACTCCATCAGCGCCTGGAATTCCCCAGGCCCGCTCCAGTGGCCCCCCTTGCTGAGTGGCGGGATAACGTGCCTTTGACCCGCCACCCTCCTGGTACACTTCCGCTGTCCCTCACTGTGTCTCTGCACAGAATCCTTGGTTTCAGCACCTGCTTCTGAGCACATCCCACACCTGCAGCAGAGCCTCAGACTGGTGGCCCAGCCCTGGGTCACTTCCCACTTACAGTGGAGCTCGGGCGCAGGGGGGCAAGACTTGGGCCTTGTCAGCCTCTGTGGGAGGTGGGCTCTGCTTTCCACCAGGGCTCAAGGAGTGGACTGTCACTCAGGGTGCCTGTGGGCGACCAGTGGCAGACTCCACTACAGTAATTTGCACAGGGTTTAGTTACAGAGATAGCAGTGACAGGAGTCGGGGACAGTGGGAGCAGAGAGGTAGTGGTGCAGCCACTTGGGCTTTGCAGCTACAGGGCTTCGGTCACCCCTGGTGTGACAGGGCATGCTGAGGGCAAGTTCCTAGAATCAGGAAAGACACAGCGGCCTCCCAGACTCCAGTAGGAGGCCCAAGTCCACCTGCAGAGGACACAGGGAAACAGAGACCCTGATCTCTCCCCTCCCCCATGTCTCCTGCCCAGGGAGGGGGCTCAGACAGGCCTGCCCCTTGGGTCGCTGCAGGGTGGGGACCCGCAGCCCAGTTCTCTTTGGCTTGTCCCGTGTTTTCTGCATAGGTTTATTTTCACCAAGTGAATTCACGGGGGCCGAATGGAAGATAAATCTGAGTTTTCAAACGAACCTGGGCTCCAGGTGTGACCAAGCAGCCCCACACCCTTGTGGGACGGAGCTGGAAATGTCCCGCTGGTCTTGAGTTGAGGCTGAGGGCTCCATTGTAGCTGTGCCCCCACGACAGCAGCTCCTTGGCCTCCTTGGCCCCTTTCCCTAACCACCCTCCTTCCCGGCCCCATTGTTCTTTCTGAAGCTGTGCTTAGAGGGACGTGCCCAGGACTCAAAGGCACCTGGTTCTTTCTGCTACTAACTTCCGCCTTGACCACCAGGCAACCCCTTCTTGCTTCTGGGCTGTGGTTTCCTGACCTGGGAGACTGAAGGGCCAGCCAGTCCACCGCTCAGGACCCCTTCCCCAGCCCTGGGGAGGCCCAGCCCCTGCAGAGCAGGCCTGAGAGGAGGGAAGGGAAGAGGGTCCTCGTGGAGACCCTGAGGCCCAGGGAGCCGGGCTGGCCCAGCAGGCCCCACCCCGATTTGCGGCTCTACCTTCCCCAAGGGGTGGGGTCGACACTTCTGTTTCAGTCACAGCCTGAGTGACACTTCGCGGTCCCTCCTGTGTTCTTGTTTGTGTGTGTGGCTGTGAATGGAAACGTGGAAGGACAGTGGTTTCTACCAGGCTTCTAAGCCTTGCTCCTTCCTTCTGCCCAACCTGGGGGTTTGGGGTCACTACTTGGCTTTTGAGCTTATGGGTGCTCCACAAACCTCAGGGGGTGATTTGTCAGGAGTATCAAATAGCGTGGGGAGCTGTGGCCGTTCCTGAGTCCCCCTGACCCTGTTCTGCCACGTCCTACCATAGTTACAGAGCTGCCCTGAATCTTGCCCCCCAACTCCATGGGCCTGTGTACCGAGGCCTATACCCCAAAAAGGACTACTTCGTTTAACATCAGACCCTGAAATCAGGTTTACTGCACACCAAGGCCTGGAAGCCCTCAGAGACCACCCTGTTGGAGTGACTGCACTGCCCGCCTGCGTTGTGAGATTTTTCAGCCTGCGCGAACGGGCTCTGTGGGAAGCAGAGTTTTCTGAATGAACATCCCCGGCTCAGTGATGGCCTGAAAATATGGTCTCTTTGACCTGTACCACATTTGCCCACAGAGGTTTATTTTTACAAAGCGTACAAAGTGAGATGAATTGCCACAGTTAGCAATCAAATTGGAGTTTATGATTGCTTTAAAAAATGAGAAGACCTGGAAGTTTTGGGCTCACATTTCCACCTGGAAGGTTTGGCTGGAGGAGAGCTGCAGCACGGCCCCGCCCCCACCCCACTAATAAATAAGACCCACACTTGCTAATTCACCACTGTCCTCACCCGTCCCTGTTTTCTTCCAGTTGGGAACTGAATGTCTGTGGCCACTTATCACTAAGTTCATGCTGCTTTTTCTCAAGCCAGAGGGTTACAAGGAAAGTAAAATATTTCGAGTCTCCACATTTCCAGCAAAAGCAGAAAAGCAGTTTACATGACCTGCCTGCCCCCATTCCGTATGGGTTGCTGATGTAGAATTTTGGCTCTAGAGGTGGTTTTGTCCCCATTGTCTCCTCTGCCACAATACCACCACCACGGTCACCGTCATATATATCCTATCTATTGGCCTCACGTGTGCAGTGAGCTAGGTCGTGGCTGTCCTTGCTTTGTCTTAGAGATAAAGCAGGGAGACAAAGAGCAAAGGTGTGGTGGTGCACGCTTGTAATCCCAGTGACTTGGGAGGCTGAGGCAGGAGGATCACAAGTTTGAGGCTAGCCTTGGCAACTTAGCAAGACCCTGAGCAAGTTTGCAAGACCCTGTCTCAAAATAAAAAAGGACTCGGGATGCAGCTCAGCAGCAAAGTGCCCCTGAGTTCAATCACCAGTACCAAAAAGTAAAAAATAAATGGCTGCAAGGAGGGTTTTGAAAGGTGAGCTCTAAGCAGCCCGTGGGACAGTCTGCTGACCCCTGCCGGAGCTATAGTCTGTACAGCAGTGACTGCCAGGCTTGGAATGTCGGAGGGCTGGGACATTTGGGCCAGGGGCCTCAGGGTTGACCTGTAAACTCAGCCACCTCAATGATAAAGCCTGAGCCCTCACCACACGGCCCCGCTGCGGTTCCCTGGAGGCTCTCCCAGAAGCCCCTGGGGGGCATAATCCAGGCAGGTTCCCCCAGCCAGGTGGGGCAAGCATCTGGCTTGGTAAAGGAATTGCAGGTGACCATGATTCATGTGGCACTGCCCCTCGTGGGAGCCAGACTTTAGAGACCGGTCACAGGAGCCAAGGAGGTCATCATCCCAGCCGTTGTCTGCATCCCAAACCTGCACCCTCAGGGGACCCCCTGTGGTCAGAAGCACATCCCCAAAGTCCAGCCGAGTCATCCATCTGGGGTTGTTATTGTTCCATACAGTACCGGTCCTCAGCTCCTGGCCACCAAAGAAGACCTTCACATAGGCGTCTGTAGCACTACCATAGTCTCCCCACAGATTCCACGCTTGGACAATGGTCACCTCCAGCCGTGCCAGGCCCCTCTGGCGTGGACAGCAGTCTTGGTTGGTGACTGCTGAGCCGTGGCACACGCACTGGCACGGGTCATGGGGACTTTTCTGTTGCCCAGGCGAGCAGGGCCGGCTGCAGTCCCTCCAGCGTGCCTTGCCCATCAGGTACTTGCTCACGGCCTGCCTCAGCGCCTCCCGCCGCGGGTCCTGGCCGTCCACCAGGAAGTGCAGGGGCTCCAGGCTGTAGTCCACCAGGCCGGGGCTGCTGATCAGCGAAGCCACCCAGGCTGAGTACTGCTCAGGCCCAGCCTGGTTCCCGAATAGCAGGTCTCGCAAGGAGGCGTGGCGGCCGCCGACGACCTCGGAGTGGCGCTCGTGGTAGGTCTGGTGGAAGGAGGTTATCATCTTGTGCCGCTGCTTCTTCTCCTCGCAGGCCTTGAACTCGGATGAGGACTCGGCATGGCCACCGATGCTCACCTGGGCCTCCACAGCCAGGCAGTCCCCCACCTCGTCGGCCGTGAGCCCATCCAAGGCCAGTGCACAGGTGCGTAGGGCCGTGAGGGCTGAGACGCGGCCACCCAGCTCCACGGACCGGATGAAGTGGGTGCCGTAGTTGTGGATGAGCCTGAGGTAGTCAGGCTCGGTGGAGGTGTTGAGGTGGGGGGGCAGGTCCCCAAGTGCCCTCTTGAAATCAGGGTGCAGTGGGGGTTTGTGCACCACATGGAAACTGTGGGGAGAGAGAAACATCAGGTGAGCCCGAGGGTGGGTAGTGTTTTCCCCACTCAATAACTCCTTCAAGACTTCCCAAGTTCAAGTGTGAGTGGGAACAACCAAGACTTGAACCCAGTGCCCTTGGCTCCAATGCCAAAGCTTGGGCACTATCGCTCCTTGGTAATGAGCTACGTGACATAGGTCTTGCCTCATTAAATGAAGCATTGTATTTTCTGGTTATAAAAGCATGGATGGTATCCACCTCGCTTTTTTATTGTTGTTTTTGGTACCGGGGATTAAACTCAGGGCCACTCGACCACTGGGTCACCTCCCCAGCCCTAATATGTATTTTATTTAGAGACAGGGTCTCACTAAGTTGCTTAGCACTGCGCTGTTGCTGAGGCTGGCTTTGAACTCACAATCCTCCTGCCTCAGCCTCCCAAGCTGCTGGGATCACAGGTGTGCACCACCGCGCCCGGCTCCCATCTTGCTTTTGAACCTTCACTCATCCGTTCCTCTGGCTCAGGCTCATGTGCCTGGGCTCCCAACTGCTCTGGCCATGCAGGCAGGAGGTGCCCTGCCTCACTGTGGAGGACTCATGGCCCGGGAAATCAGAGGAGTGACTCGGGTGGCCATTGCTTGGTGTGGGACTTGTGTCCCAGGCTCCCTGTTCTATGGGGGCTGGAGTATTGACAGCTGTTGCTTAGTAGGCTCACCCTGACACATGAGCCAGGTGTGAATATTGGTTAAATGGATAAATGAGGCCCAGATCAGATGCCCAAGATCACACAGCAATAAGGAGGGAGGACCCAGCCAGGTCTCTGGTCTCTGTCCCTATCCAGGTAGGACCCCATGGGAGGCTGACAGTGCCCAGGAAGGAGGTGGGTGGGCTCTCAGCACACCTCCCTGGTACCACGTTAGGGCATCAGGCACAGTCTTGCTCACTTTCCCTCTGCCTGGGCTCTCAGTGGCCCTCCTAGATTTGGGCCCTCCTGGATGGGAAGAGTCCCAGGGGCTGTCACCTGAAGCCTGAGAACCAGGTCTCTGGTTTCCTCCTGGTGGGAGCAGCCTCCGAGTCCCCATCCTGCAATTTCAGAGCTCCTAGATGGAACTCAGGGTTTCCCCGTCCTCGTCCACATCACCTGCACCACCTCCGGCCCTCACCTGTAGAGGCGACACTCCACCGTGTCCGTGCTGAAGCTGTACTGGTCCTGGTGGGTCTTTTGGGCTGCGAAGTCCGCTGCCTTGGAGTGCGAGCCAGCCACAGACATGTGCACCTTGCTGCTGGGCTCGGGGGGAGTCACGTCCAGCCCCACCCGCCAGTCATTGTTGATGCTGGAGGCCGCCTCCCGGGCCACCTCCTCGGTGGAGCTGATTTTGGCCTTGGCTACTTGGCGCCTGCAGCTGGAGCCCTGCCCACGCCAGTGGGTGAGCGCCAGGGGCAGACGCTGCAGGGCGCCCTTCTGCAGGGGGTTTTTACAGAGGGTGCAGGTGCCGTCGGGCCGCAGGAACCTGTGTGTGTCCACGGGGAAGGAGCCGGAGCGGCGGAGGCTGGTCACGTCCACACCTTCCCCAGCCAGCAACGCGCCAGGCACGGGGTCATGGTTTTGCTTGCACTCTGATCGCGCAGCTGTGTAGCAGGAGGCTGGGGCAGGTCGGGGCAGCAACAGGAGGAGAATGCCTCGGAAGAGAAGTTGGGTGCCCATGGAGCTGTGGGAACAGGGAGCTTTGAGCTCTGGGACCCCGGGCAGAGGGAGGGAGGGTGGCTGTGTTCTCTGCCCACCACTGGGGATTACTGGAAGGGCAGGGATTCTCCTAAATGACTGAATGCCGGAGCTGTGTCAGTTCTACGGCTCGGTGCAGACAGGCCCAGGGAGTGTGTCTGCTTAGCCCGGCATCCAGCAGGGCTCCTTTGCTAGGAACTTACTAAGGCCTCCCTAACGGGAATCTGGATGGATGTCTTTGTCCCCAGGACACAACTGCTGCTGGTGAGGGCGGGGCTCTGGTCTCAGAAGAGGGAACAGTAGCTGGAAGCCTGAGGACCTGCCAAGTCTGGATTCCGGAGGAGATTCCTTTTGGGCTCTGGAACCGCTGGCCCTCTTCCACCCGATTCTCACTCTGTTTCTCCAACTCTCATTCCTGTCTCTCCCACCGAGTCCTTAACAGAACCGGGAAAGAAATGAGGCCATGCATGCCCTTGCGCTCCCCATTTTCCCTTCGGGGTCTCCCTCCGAGGGAGATGTGCCATGCTGTGGGCGGGGGGGGGGGCGGGTAGACGGGGGAACGGATGGGAGCTGCGTGTGCCCATGCCCTTGGCTCTGATGGGGGAGGGGCCTTGGGTTTGCTATGCACACCCTTCCTGGTGCCCGAGTCTCCCCTCCGGCGTTCCCCACCAAGCTCCTGGGCGTCTGGCAGAGACCTACCTGTTGCCTACATTGGCTGGAAGTTTCTCCCTCCTTCGGAGATGGCTTGGTGCCTACCTATGATTGGGAATCTCCTTTCTCTCTCTCTCTCTCTCTCTCTCTCTCTCTCTCTCCCCCTGTACTGGGGATTGAACCCAGGGCACTTAACCACTGAGCCACATCCCCAGCCCTTTTTTATATTTTATATAGTGACAGGGCCTCTCTGAGTTGCTTAGGGCCTCGCTAAGTTGGGGAGGCTGGCTTTGAACACACGATCCTCCTGCCTCAGCCTCCTGAGCTGCTGGGATGACAGGCGTGTGTCACCGCACCTGGCTGGAATCTCCTCTCTATCCCCCTGTGACCTGAGCTCCTCGGGGCCTTTTCCCTCTGGTGCCTGCAGGGACATCAGTTTCTGAGAAAAGGGGGTCATGGAGGACAGGAATGTCCCTGACATGGAGCCTTCCATGCCCAACCCAAAGAGGTGACTTGAAGGTGGAATTCCAGGACCATGCAGGGCCCAGAGGGTGCAGAGGGGAGGGAAGCTTCCCAAGTCCCCCCAGGCACCCCACTCAGGGGACCAGCAGGCTTCTGCCGTGACCCTAACCCGGATCTCGGTCTCCACCCGGGCACTTGTCCTCTTGGCCATTTTTTTTCAGAAGCTCTAGTTGTTGCTTGAGGGGCTCTTGGAGACCATGAGTGCGACTCCATAATGAGGAAACTGAGGCCAGAGTGGGTCCAAGGCTGCCCAGGGAGGCAGTGAGGGGAGGCCGGGCCCTCTGAGGCCCAGAGCTCGTATCTCATGGGTCAGGGCACTTCCTGCTCCCCAGGCTTCCCTGAGAGCAGCAGCCAACCCTCCCACCCAGGACCCTGGCCCTTACCCCCGCCTCCGCCCTACCTGGAGTCCTGCGAGAAACTGCCGCGGGGCCGCCGTGCTCCCCGCCGGAGTCTCCTGAAATAGTGGCGTCAGCCCCCCAGGCAGGCTTGCCCCAGCCACGTCACATCACTTCAGCTTCCTGTCCCACCTCCAGCTGTGGCCACAGGTCCCCCAGCACCCACCCTGTCATCACCTCCTCATCCGGCCCTGCTGACAGCCCGCAGGAAGCAGGCTGAGAGGCCAGAGGCTCATCTGCCACAAAAGCCTGGGCTGCGGGACCCAGGGAGGTACCACAGGGCTTTGTGCTCAACTCTAAGAGAGCCCTGCCCCTTCTGACCTGCACGTGACAGATGTGCCTAGGGCCGGCTGGCCTCGGGCCTTCGCGAAGAAGAGGCGAGTCAATCCGTGTCAAGTGCTTAGAACTGTGCCTGGCCCTCAGAAGGTGTCCGTATATGTGACTGTCCCCTCTTCCTGGAGCAGTGAGGAGAAAAGACGTCCAGAGCTGGTGTCCACTTCCTGCCCACCCCTTCATGCCAGCCCTGTCCTGGGCCCAGCAGGCACTGCTGAGAGATCCGAGGGGGAAGGCTGGGGCCTGTTCTCCTCCACTCTGTGCCCTGCCTGAGGTCAGGGAGGGGGAGGTTTCCATGGGGCAAATGACTCACAGGTCACCTTCTGGGGGGCCAAAGCACACTGATTCTGAGGTGGGACAAAGGGGTGAGTGTGGGGGGGGTCAGTTCTCAGTACTTCCAATTGTGTATGTGACAGGAAAAAATAGCCACAAGCCTCAGACCACGTGTGACACCGTGTGTCATGGGTCACGTCTTAGGGTTCATCCCTTGAGTCTCTGTCCCCCCTGCATCCCCGCTCTGACGGGAACAGGGGCTCACACTGCCTTCTCGGAACTGGCCCCATCCTCTCCCCTTATTCTCCCAGAGATTGCGGCTTCCTGAGCCCCTCCAGCTCCGGCCTGTGGCCTGGCTCAGACACCAGGGCTGGGAGGAGTTTCATTTCCGACATCTGAGGAGGGCCGCGGGAACGGACATGAAAACCCTGAAAAAATCTATAGGAAACGAAAGCGAGGCTCTAAACAGGCTCTAGTCCAGCTTCACGGGCAACTTGCTGTGGGACTCTTGGCAAGACACTTTAAGCCCTTGCTGAGCCTGGGTCTCCTCACTATCAAATCAAAGGGAGAACGTTGGGATCCCCAGGAATCCTTCCAACTCATGACGAGACGTGCATTTAGCAGGTGTCCAGTGGCTGGTGTCTATGATGGTGTGGATGCTGCCCATTGAAGAGCCCCATTGACATCCAGGATTACAAGTGGACTTGGCTTCTGGTGACGGCTGTCCTGCCAGGTCAACCTTGTGCTTGAAATGTGCATTAAGCACAGTCACCCTCAGAGACACAAGTTTCAACAAGGGCCCACTTTGTCCATTGCCAGACACCATCCACATGTCCTTTAAAACAACTCTACTGAGATATAATTCACAAACCGTATATTCACCGGTTTAAAGTCCCCGACTCAATGCATTGTTTTTAGCCTGTTCCTGGAGCTGTCCACCCATGGCCACAATCAATTTTAGAACATTTTCATCGCTTCTGAAAGGATTCCCCTGTTCCTGTTGGAATTCAGTTCTCATTTCCCCCCAACACGTCCATGGGTTCTCCTAGTTTGGACATTTCATCTAAATGGAATCATATGACATGTGACCTTTCGTGTCTGGCTATTTCATTTAACATTCAAGCTTCATCCGTGCAGTCGCTCTGTCAGTACTTCATTGCTTTTCACAGTTGACTGACTGTTCCAATGGACCACGTTTTGTTCATTCACACATCAGTTGATGGGCTTTGGGTTTTTTCCACTCTTTGGCTATTATGCATAATGAATCATGCTGCTATGAACATTGATGTTCAAGTTTTTGCGTGAGCCTACGTTTTCTTTCTTTTTTTTTTCCTTCCTTTTTTTAGTACCAGGGATTGAACCCAGGGGTGCTTAACCACAGAGCCACATCCCCACCCTTTTTTAATATTTTAATTAGAGACAGGGTTTAGCAACAATTAAATTGCTTGGGGCCTTGCTAAGTTGTGGAGGCTGGCTTTGAACTCAAGATCCTCCTGCCTCAGATTCCCAAGCTGCTGGGATTAAGGCAGGTGCCCCCGTGCCCAGCTGAACGAACATGTTTCATTGCTCTTGAGCTTGTACCTTGAGTGGAATTGCTGGGTCCCGTGGAAACCCTGGGTTTTTACGGTTTTAGAAACTATTTTCCATACATTCCTAACAGCAGCATGTGAGGATTCCAATTTCTCCACCTCCTTTCCTACCCTTATTTGTCATTTTTATTACAGCCATCCGAGTAGGTATGAAGTGGTATCTCCTTGTGGTTTTGATTTGAATTTTCTAATAGTTAATGGCACATGGTTTTCCATGTGCTTGTGAACTTTTTGTTTATTTTCTTTGAAGAAATGTCTCCTGAAGTGCATTTTTGAAATGAGTTGTCTTTTTATTGTTGAGCTCTCATAGTTCTTTTTATGTTTTGGATTCTAGAACCTTATCAGATATATGATTTGCAAATATTTTCTTCTATTCTGAGTGGCATTCTCATTTTTTTAGATGGTGTCCTTTTGAAGCACAAACATATTTCATTTTGATGAAGTCCAATGCATCTATTTTCTCTTTTTGCTTGTAGTTCTTATGTCATATCTAAGAAGGTTCGGTCTAACCTAAGGCTACGGAGATTTACTCTGAAGTTCTGTACTAACCGTTTTGCAGTTTTAGATCTATGGTCCACTTGGAGTTCATTTTTGTGTATGGAAAAGCATCCAATTTCATTCTTTTCCATGTGGTTTTCCAAATGGTTCTGATCCAATTTGTGTGTGTGTGTGTGTGTGTGCATATTGCTGGGGAAAACGGAACCCAGGGCCTTGAGCACATTAGGCAAGTTCTAATACTGAGCCACATCACTAGCCCTCAGAATTTCAATTAAAAAAAATAATTGTTTTTTATTGTAGATGGACACAATACATGTATCTATTTATTTATTTTTATGTGGTGCTGAGGATCGAACCCAGTGCCTCACATGTGCTAGGCAAGTGCTCTACCACTGAGCCCCAGCCCCAGCCCCAACATTTCTATCTTGATAGAAAATCTCCTCAGATATTGGCTATGGCTTTGACGTCTTCCAAAATTCATATTAAAACCTAATCCTCAATGCAATAATAATAAGTGGGGAGACTTTAGGAGATAAATCTGAGATAAAAGGGGCTCGAAGCAATCTGTTAGTTGCTTTTTGTTCTTCTGCTTTGGGCCACATGAGGACATGGCCACAAGGTGACATTGGTGGAGCAGAGTGAGCCCTCCCTGGGTGCTGAACCTGCTGGTGCCTTGGTCTGGGCTTCCCAGCCTCCAGAACTGTGAGAAATAAACTTCTGTTCTTATAAATCACCTACTTACTAGGCTTTAAATGTTTGTTCTCCCAAATTCATGTGCTGGGGAGCAAACATTCAAACCATTGCAATTCATTTAATTCTCATATGTCACTGGTACTTGGAGGTGGGGCCTTTGAGAGGTAAGGAGAATTAGATAAGGTCCTCATAGTGGGCCCCCATGATGACATTAGTGGTTTTTTAAGAACAGGAGGAGAGACCCAAGTTAATGCCCTCGCTCTGCCTTGCCACGTGGTGCCCTCTGCCGTGTTATGCTGGAGCAAAAGAGGCCCTCACCGGACGCTGAGTGGATGACAGCATCACGCACTTGGACTTCCCAGCCTCCACGTCAGTGAGCCAAACTTCTGTTCTATCTAAATTACTTGGTCTCACGTATTTTGTGATAGCAACAGAAAATGGTCAAAAACACCAGTCCGAGGTATTTGGTTACAATAGCAACAACAGAATAAGACAATCCATAGAACGCTTGAGGGAGGTACTGATCTGGATCGCATCTCTTTGTGTGGACTCTGCTTACTACGTAAACCTCATCTGTGAACTGTCACCAAGGGGTCCTTTAGCAAACAAAGTGTTTAGATGGTAACTACACATCCGAAGGACCCCAAATGTGGTGAAGATGCTGTTTTCTTCACCCCAGATAACTCTTTGGTCCCTTTTCTTGACAGGTTTCTGAAGCTTAGATGTTCTTCTTCCCCACTCCTAGGTGTTACCCACATTCTGCCCATTTCCCCCCCTCGTCTCAGAAGAAGTTGAAGAATCTTCTTTCCATGGAAGGTTTTATAGAAGGTGGCATTCTGCTTTGTAGTGGGTAGATTTTGAGTCCATGTCTTCAATGGTTATAATTCTATTAAGGTTTCCCCCGCGCCCCCCCTCTCTCTGTCTCTTTCTGTTATTAGTTATGGTTTTCTAGAAAATTTTCTGGTCTGTCTATGGGCTTAAAGTTGTTTATGATGGTTTTTCTCTGTCTTAAAAAAAAACCCTCTGAATCAGTAGTGGTGCTTGCTCCTTCTTTTGTACCGGGGATTGAACCCAGGGGTGCTTAACCACGGAGCCACATCCCCAGCCCATTTTATTTATTTATTTATTTTTAATTTTGAGACAGGATCTTGCTAAGTTGCTGAGGGTCTTGCTAAGTTACTGAGCCTGGAACAGGTGATCCTCCTACCTCAGCCTCCTGGGCTGCAGGTGTGTATCCAAGCTGCTGGGATTACAGGTGTGCATCACCGTGCCCAGCACGTGCTCCCTTTTTGATCCCAGATATATTTTTAATGATGTTTCTTTTTGTTTCTAGAATAATCTTGCCAAAGATTTTCATACATTGTATTAGTTTTATCAAAGAGCCTATTCTTGCCTTCACTGATCCCTTCTATTCTTCATTATTTCCCATTTAACTAATTTCTTTTTCTTTCTTTCTTTTTTCTGGTATTCTTGAGGAACTTCTGTTATCCTAGGGATTGAACCCAGGGACTGGCACATGCTAGGTAAGCACTCTACCTTGGAGCTCCATTCCCATTCCTTTATATTTTTTATTTTGAAACAGAGACTTATCAGGTTGTCTAGGCTGGCCTCGAACCTGTGATGCTCTTGCCTTAGCCTCCCCAGTGACTGCCAAACACATGGAATTTTAAGCACTACCTCTTGGCTGTGAATTTCTAACAGTTAACACTACTCAGAGCAGGTGGTCTCTCTGACCCCCCCTT